TACTTCTTTAGGCGCGTTATGAAAAAATGATGAGAGTGAAATTTTAAGATGCGCGCGCATCACTGTAACACAAAATCTTATAATCGCTAAAGCGACCAACTTCATGCGTTACTTTTGTGTTTACCGCACATTAAGAAAATCTACCAACAAAATAGAAATAGAATCTCTATTTAGTGGGTCCTAACGACTGCATTGTGAAGGCCTATCAAAAGTATTTATTAATCTGGAACAACGGAACCAAAGCGCGATTCAGGAGACTAGAGCGCCATCTCTTGACCATTGGTGTAGTAGAACCAAAAACCACATCTTTATTTTTTGTAATAGGTATTCATATTTATAATATTTATCCACATGTTTCTAGTTTGTATATTCGGAATACGTGTTTGAGTGAGTTTGAGTTCATACAAGTGCAAATCACATATGTTCTAATAAATTATATTCAGTAGCGATTTTAATTGAATATTTTGATTATTTATTTATTTTTTCAAATTAAAACTGAACTTTATTGACTGTGTCCTTTTCCAGACTTTTTATTAATTTATTGTTATTAATTATTTGCATGCAATTAAAAACTAATTTTAAACGATGCCAAAGAAGGATAACTTCTCACGCGCCTACATAAGTACACGCACCCATTTTTTTTTTATTTCGTTTTGCTATGCAGTATGGAATAGTCAAACAATAATAAATTTTAAATAAATGTAATATTTATTAAACATATTTAAAGTATTTATTTTCTTACATCATTTGTATACTCACTCATCACAAGTAGGTACATAATGTTTAATGATTATAAAACTTATCTTTCTCTTACATTTTTTAGCATATCTTTACTAAAAATAAAAAGAGGAAGAAGTTTTTATATACTTACTTTACAAAGAAAAATAAATCATTTGTTTTATGTATAAATATTTTAATGTGAAAAATTAAATCTAAGTCCCAAGATTGACAACTTTTTATATCGGGTCAGTTCGCCTGTTCGCGTCCATCGCCCAATTCGCGTCCATTTTACGGATCTCCCTTAAAAAATCCTCAATAATAAGTAAACTAACACACCAATCAAACGAAAAGTAATTACCGCTAATACCTACCTTAATATATAAGAGGCACGAACACATGGTCAAAAGGTAGGTGCGCCAAAAATTTCCATTTAAAAAAAATAATTAGTCTCGGTTATTCATCAAGGGAGTGCGTACACGCGGGATGTTTAGATAAAAAATAGTGTGCTGCGGCGCGTTCGATGGTAAGATTTTTATTTTTTTATGTTAATTTTAGGATACATAGCTGTTTCTAGACTTTTATAGTGAAGGAAGGTATGATATTAATTATAAAGTTTCTATGTTTTTTTATATTTAATAAATAAAATAAGGTGGACGCGAATTACTACATCGAAATTACAAAACTTCCAATTTGCGTCCGCAATGGACGCAAACTAAACCTACAGGGGATAATAATAAACCAAATTGCGTCCACTATTTTCGTTAAATACAATTAATTAATTATAATTTAAAATATAGGTATTGATTATTATTATTATACATTTTTATTAAGACTACGTGTTTTTAATGCTATTTTTAAATGAAATGAGTAATTTCAATCAATCAATCGAATACTTTATTTGTTTCATTCTTATTTTTTTCTATTTGAGATGAGTTCTTCAGATACAAGAAAGTAGAAGGAAAAGAGAATATACACAGAAGACGATTTAAAGAAAGCGTTAAATGAAATTCGAGAAAAGAATAAATCGGTAAGACACATAGACATATTGTACAAAATCAGTGGGCGCAGACCAAATGAAGTAAAGAAACCGGGACCAGACACCACCTGATGCTACCCGGAATGTCTAACAAAGCATGAAAAGATAATCAAAGAACTCTAGCAACCATATCTTCTGCTGCATGGAGTAAGCATTAAGAAGATAAACAGCAGATCAAGAACGAAAAGCAGGAAGCAATACGATAAAGAAAGTAAGAACGAATAGAGAAACGAGAACAGAGTTTAAAACACTCTCAAACGGTTCATAAAACTGCTCCAAAACGAAAGAAGAAGGTGCATGCTCTTCAAGAAGTCATACAGGAAATGGTAAATCAGGAATTTAAGAAAGATTTTTTTTCTGAATGTGACGATATACTAATTTCAGATGTAGAAGACGACGATGAGAAAAACATACCTTGTGATTTTAGGGTAAAATTAACAAAACTGATTACTGTTTATTCTTAAAGATGCAATCATTATTTACCTACTACTTATATAATTTTAAATTCAATCAATATTGAGAAGAATATTTTTAATTTTTTTAAAGTGATAATTTTAATGATGATAATGTTGGTTTTAATATTTATATTCTAAAATAATCTAAATCTAATCGTTAAAATAGGTACAATCTTTCTATACAAATTCTTAAAAATACCACCCCTATATTCCTTTTCTAAGGTGGTGGACGCTAAATGGTCCACGGGTGGACGCAATTTGGATTTTGTGGACGCAAAGTGGGTAATACGTCTTATTCCGAAGTTTATCTATTTAAATAAAAAACAATAGATGTTTCGAACAAAACTGAAAGTTAATCTTAAAATAGACTATATAATGAACACATTACATAATTTTTTCATAGAAATTAGTGCTGGGATATTTTTATTATCGCCGTCAAACTTTCCAACTGCACTAAATGGACGCGAACAGGCGACCTGACCCTCTATATTATCTTGATTTTTGAATATTGTATAGGTATTAGGATAAGTTTAGTAAATTCATGAATAATTAAATTATTTAGTATTATAAGTATAAATATTGGAATCATTTATTGATAGCAAAGCTCATACAACCTACTTTGTTCTGCATTTAGACTTTGAACACTTATGTAATTATCATGCTACTAGACAGAGATGGAAATCTCTGATATAAACCTAAAAGTGATCAAAATCATTATTTCTAATACTTGGCATCTTTTTATACTATTTAAAAAATATGACACTTAAAATATCTTTTACTTTCAGATCTTTTATATGTAGTGCTAAATAATAAAAACACAGTTTACAACATATAAGGTTACCGCACTGTAGAATTAAGATTATTTCTCAATAAATTGTGAATCTTATATGATGCAATATAAAGCTAAAAGTTAGTTGCAGAAAATTTGATAACTTTTTGGATTTCTTGATCAGTTGTTTACTGCACTGATCCAAATGGAATATATATCGCACCTCCGGTGCAACACTGTCACTTATGCAAAAAAATCATTTTTGAGAAGCGTTTAAAACTTTAACATCCCAAAACATACAATATTTAAATTGTTTTTTTAATTTTTTTTAGATGAATAACTAAGTACTATGAGCTTTTCATCACGTAAAAATCTTTAAATATTGTATGTTTTGGGATGTTAAAGTTTTAAACGCTCATCCTGAAAAAAAAAATGTTTTTGCATAAGTGACAGTGTCGCACCGGAGTTGCGATATTGATACCATGGGCTCAAAGGGCGTAAACGCCAAAAGTTAACGTTTCGCAAAAACATTTTTTTTAAAGTGTTTTTATGTATCTTTTTTTTTCTAGGTTATACATATATTCTAATACATATATAGATACAAACAACAAAAAAGATATATTAAAATATTGTAAAAATATTGTTTCTTTTTAGCTTTGAAGTATTGGCTTATGGTGTTTGAGCCCCATTTGGTATCAGTATGTCTATTATACAGAAAATATTATTGCACAACTGCATAATTGACCTATAATAGTTAATATTAGAATTATAATTTAATATAATACTTATTTATCAAGCATAACATACACCTAAGAGTAAATTCATGATTGAATACATGAAAGTATGTACCTACTTAATATTATTTATTGAAGTATTCATGAAAAATCTGTTATTATAATTTTTTCTCTACTAATATTAAGAATATACAAAAATATATAACAACATTCTTCTCACTCACTTTTGGATGGATCCAGTTTTAAGATAATAATATTCCCTAAGCTATCTGTGACTCATGAACTCAAAAATAATCTCAAGGTGAGTCATTCATTGTTAAGTTGGCTTATATATTGAATCATCATCATACAGTCCTGATGCGACAATAATCATGAATATTGCACTCCTGGAATGGTTCAGTATTATATTATTTATTTTTTGAATAATTTCTTTTTGATTACATATGTAACGAGTCAAATATGTCATTTGATTAAGTCGAGTCATGATTAACAAACATGGTATTTTTACACTTTTTGTATTCAAGTAGAATTCAGTCTGTTAATACATTAAAACACATTATTTTGTTTTTAAGGGATGCTTAAGTAATCTAGTTTGTACAAATTAACTCAAAAAATATTTAAACTACACTTGAGATATTATTTTAAAATATAAAACTTACGATAAACAAGAAGTATATGGTCACAGTTTGAAATAAATAGGTTTTATAACTAATTGTTTTTCCATCCAACCAAAAATAGCAGTAGCAGTTCAGTATCTAATTGATCCATCAGTTATTAAGTTAATAAAAGCTGGTCAACTATATTTTCCAGTAATAAATTTGGCACTGATTATATCTGAAAGTAGGTATATATTTAAACTTTGATTATAACAAGTGCTAAATTTTTCAATTTTCTTTTTAAAGATTTGGAATTACATATTTACTTTTAATGATTGTGTACAAGGTACATAATAACTATAAAAAATTAAATCTCTCAGAATACAATATTTTATATATTATAATAATCTGATGTTGTTATTCCTTCAATCCAATGTATCACAGACTAATTCTTTAAGGCACAAAGTTAAGACATGACAAGATTTTTCTATACAGTAATTATACAATTGCACACAGTGAAAGTACCTCAATTATATTAATGATGCAGTTGTTTTTGAATAATTTATATACCAAATGAGAAGATATTTTACTTACATAAAACTATGAAAATTAGTGACAAGTAAGCAACTTAGTCTTATACTGTTTAGAAATCAAGAATAATTAATGTTTTTTTTTCATACATTCTAAAAGTTATTTATTTCTTATGTGCATGCTATTATTCCTGACATATGGATTTTGTAGAATTCTTGGTGTTGTCTCCATTACTCTAAGCAATAATTCATCCAAGTAGTTTTCTAAATCTTTATTCTTTTTCTTCTCTGATTCTGCATCTTTTTGCATATTGTAAATCATTACAATTAGGTCTTCTCTGGATTTGCCATCAAACTGCTCTATCACTGTTTTTGGGATGCTGTTATAGGCTGGGTTTATAGAATCCTCTTCAACAATATTTTCCTCTCCAACAATGATACGTTCTTCCAGTAACTTTTTGGGTTTATTGTTAGTGCCAAATTTTTTAAAGAATTTTGGGCTCGGTTTCTCTTTAAAGGAACTAGGGCTATCCAGCTTGTTGTTTCTCTCAAGACTTGATGATTTTTCTCTATCAATTGTTGTTTGGCTGTTAGATTTTGGCTTTGAATATAGTTTTTGAGACCATTCATCATCTTTGTTGACAACTTGTGAAGGTAATTGTGGAGGTGTGAATAAATTGAGACTCAAACGCACTGGTTTATGCGGAGCTGTTTTATCTAAATTAGCCAAGTTGCTACTAGTAGATCTTCTTAAAATTTCACCTCCACCAAGATTTTCGAGAGAAGCATTCATTGGAGATGGAGTGTATTTATGTCCTCGGGGCAAAGTGTTGACATTTAATGAACTGCCTGAACTTTTATGAGATAAATCATCAAAGGCAAACTCATCTTCATCTTCACTAATAACCCCAGGATCAGCCTCACCTGCTGGTAGATGTTTTGGTGTAGAGTGTTCAGGGGTTGATAGTGCAGAGCTTTTCAAATTTCCAATACTACCACTAAGAGATGATGAATCACTTTTTTTGTCCTTTTTATTCAAATTCATTTTTGAACCCAGATTTTTGGCAAATTTTTTAAGGCCCTTTCTCTTTTCAATACTTCCTATGCTCATAAGACTACCACCAACATTATGTGCAATGCTAGACAAAGATGATCTATGTTTTTCTTTCTTACTTAGGTCATTCAGACTTCCTTCTTTCACCGTAAAACCGATTTTTACTTCTAATTCGCCTCTTTTCTTATCACTATCCTTACCTGGTTTGCCCTGCAAAGTATACCAACGGTTTCTTGGTCGCTCATAAACATCGAGGTCTTTTAACGGAATCGATACTTGACCTAGTAAGTGGTCCTTTACAAAATCTTCATCATAAACCTTTAACACAACCTCAGCAGTGTTCCCTTGCGAAGGTATGCTGAGTTCACATTCCTCTAACCATTCAACATTCTCAGTTGCTTTGTGTTTGACGGAGGTCTGGAATTTTTCTTTACCGAGGGCGATGGTCACAAAACAGTTATTGGTACCGTTTTTACCCTTTATCAGCAATCCACGAGCCCTTTGGATCGTTACTTGAACATGTGTTGGATCCCACATAGTCGTTTGCACTAAATTTCACTTTATCGTGGAGTATTTTGTTACTTTATTTAAAATAAGAATACCATCAATAAGAAAATATTTGCCGATGAGCTGTCGTCGAAGACATTCACTCAATTTCACTCATGGACTTACTTAATGACATTCACTCACTGACATACATGACCAATACATGACTGACATGACGGACAGTCAGTGTTGCCAGGACCCGATAAGCAAAAGTAACACATGACTGAATAATGCCGGGTCTTCACTCGGTTGTTCGTGTTTGTTATTATTAAACGTGAAATCATTTTGTCCTTTTCAATCCTTCTAAGGGTGCGGCCAGAGTGCACTCAGATTCAGATTCAGATTCAGATTTCGAAAACAAGCGCGAGAAATAAACAGTGTAGTCGAAGGGTACGGCCAGATTGCACTCCTGATTCGGATTCAGATTCAGACTCAGAAAACAAAGCGCGAGAAAAAGCAGGCAATCTGCTTAGACTACACTGTTTATTTCTCGCGCTTATTTTCAGAATCTGAATCTGACTCTGAATCTGAGTGCACTCTGGCCGCACCCTTAGGCATGATAAGTACAGACTATTGTCAAGTTTACAAATAGGAAATATGAATAGCCAAGTGAATTGCTGGCATAAACAGTAAACATCATTGCGTTTTGGAGTATAAATTAACGCGAACGCCAAGAGGAGCCTCAGCCTTGTTCGATAATAGATTTTTTATATTATCACACTGTCTTCCTACGCAAACTAGTGGGTAACTTGCAGTTCAGATCCATAGTTATACCCTAGATACAACAACACGAACAAAATCGTGGCCGAAATCTGTCCAAAAAGGTACATTGGACGTTACACGGAGCTCCGTGAGATGATCGCGTAGTTAAAAACCATGTAAGGAATTATTTAAACATTCAAAGCCACCTTTAATGCAAAGTATATAAGGAATTAATTTAAAACACATAATTATGTCGAACAGTACTTAGCACAGTACGTTTCTAGCAGGAGCTAACTGGGCAGTAGGTAAATTAAAGATAATTTAAAGAAAACGATATATATTAGGCACACGTAAAGAATAGCAATTTTTTATAATATCAGAGTTTTGTTTTCTTCTGACAACATCACTCAATTGGTTTTGACAACGCAATATAACAAAGGAGTTTACTCTATTATCTTCTCTCGTTGTAAACCTATGATTTCACAGTGCTTGTTGAGCCGAGGTCTAGGTAGCGTTTTTGTAAGCATATCCGCTAACTGTAGCTCTGTAGTCACCTTGTTGACAAGTAAGTGCCCTTCCGACACTAGCTCTCTTACAAAGAAGTGTCTAATGCGTATATGTTTTGTTCTGCGATGAAATTCCGGATTTTCAGCCAATCTCAGATCAGCTTCATTATCTACTTGAAGTACAGGCACTTCCTTTAGCTCTACCAAGCCGCTTATTAGTCTGGTTAGCCAGATACATTCCCTCGCAGCTTCAGTGGCTGCAACAATCTCTGCCTCAGTTGTTGGAATGGCAACACTGCTTTGTCTTTGACTTAGCCAAGAGACTGGACCACCAGCATATAAACACAACATACCTGTCGTGGACCTTCCTGTGGTTGTATCACCACCATGGTCTGCATCACTATAACATTCAATTATGCCTTTCTTGTAGTCCTTTTTATACAGGATACCTAGACTCAAGGTATATTGTATGTATCGTAGAATTCTCTTCAGTTTGACTACAGCAGCTTGTGTAGGTTTCTCCAAATTTCTGGAAACTACACTCACTGCAAAAGCAATGTCAGGTCTGCTTCCGACCATTAAGTAAGACAGAGCCCTAACTATTTGTCTATAGCATTTAAGAAAATATTCATCTACTTTTTCAGCTCTTTGTGGAGTATCTTCTTTTATCATTGGAGTCGTCACTAGCCTACATTCTTGCATTCCAAATCTATGTAAGATTTCTTGGTGTAAGATGTCTGATGAATCAATAAACCATCTTCTCTACTCACTATCTCAATTCCGAGAAAATAACCGATTGGTTTCGTAATTATTTTAAATTTCTGTTTCAGTTGCAGCCACCAGTCCGTCGTCTACGTACAATGCGACTATCAATTTCTCTTCGCCATTTTGTTTTTTAAACAGACACGGATCTGCTTCACTGACTTGGAACCCAGTATCTTTGAAGAAAGTCAGTATTGTGGTATTCCAGCATCTGGGAGCTTGTTTTAACCCATAAAGACTTTTTTTTAATAAACAAACTCTTCCCGAACCATCTTCATACCCTTCAGGCTGTTTCATGTATATTGTCTCCTGTGACAAACAACCGTACAGAAAAGCTGTGGAAACGTCGTATTGATACATTTTCATCCCTTCGTTTGATGCAATACTGAGAACTGAACGAACCGTCGCCATTTTTGCAACAGGGCTAAAGGTTTGGTTGTAATCTACTCCTTTCTTTTGACGAAACCCTTTAGCAACCAATCTAGCCTTGTATTTATCTATGGATTCATCAGCGTTCAGTTTTATCTTAAAAACCCACTTACATGGAATCGCCTTTCTGTTTTTCGGTAACTTCTCCAGACACCATGTACAGTTTTCTCTCAGTGAATCAATCAGGGCAGACTATTGCTTCTTTATTACTAGTTGGCTCAAAGTATTCTTCGGTATTCATGACGAAATCTTTGAATCTAGCAGGTTGTCGAAGCCTTGAACGATCTCTAAACACCCTATCAGATTGTTCATTCACTAATTCTTCCATAGTGTCTTCATATTCAAGATCAACATCAGTTTCATTCTCAACAGTAACTCCTGTTTCGTTCTCAACAGTAATTTCTGTTTCGTTCTCAACAATAACTTCTTCGACATCTTCAATCTCCCCCCTAGAGTCAATAGTTATTTCCTTATTAGAGAATGCGTTATCAAACTCACGTTCATTGCTGTCAACTTCAGGTTCCATATCAACCATACCTGGATCATTCATAATGGAATCTTCTTCTCTGATTTCAGACTTCGTTCGTAGTTGAATCTCTGTTCCCGTCATTAACGACTGATCTTGAACGTCCTCAAGTTTTGACAAAATAGACTTTTCATCAAACGTAACATCTCTCGACCTTACTATAGAGTTAGTCTCTCTGTGCCATAGTCTGTATCCATCGTCATTATCGTAACCTACTAGCAGGCACTTTTTGGCTTTCTTATGTAATTTCTTCCTACTTACTTTAGGAACATGCACGTAACACACTGATCCTATTATCCTCAAGTGCGTTATTCGAGGTTTCTTCCATAACCATATCTCAAACGGAGATTTGTTTTCCACTGTGGTTGGTCCTATTCTGTTAAGAATATATACAGCAGTATATACCAACTCAGCCCACAGAGACTCAGGAAAAACTTCACGTGCATGCATCATCGTTCGAGTCATTTCGACGATAGTCCGATTATCTCTTTCACAACACCCATTTTGCTCAGGCGTATAAGGACATGTTAGTCTATGCTTAATACCTTCTTTTCTTAAAGTATCTTCAAATCTTCTGTTAATAAATTCGCCACCATTGTCAGCCAACAATTCCTTAATAACGTAGCCGTGTGTCTTCACCAAAGCAAGCATTTCCTCCAGCTTTTCTGGAACTTCAGATTTGTGCTTTAAGAAATAAATGAAGCGAAATTTCGAGTAGTCATCCTTAAAGAGTAGAAAGTACCTTTGTTTCGACAATGAAGGTGGAAAGGGACCACAAACATCAGCATGCATTATTTCACCAGGCGATTTGGCTCTTATCCTTGTGCCAAACTGACGTCGATGCGCCTTACCGAACAAACAGCCTTCACATAACTCTCCTGTATCTTTAATCTTGATGTCTAATTCTCGCTCAACTAGACTTTTCACATGTCGCTTATCTTGGTGGCCCATACGTTCGTGATATAACTGCAATTTATTCACAGCATTAACATATGCAATTATTTTAGGTTGCACCGCTGTGCACTTCAGCTTATATAGTCCACCAAATATCTGTCTTTGTCCAGTTACTATAACCTTTTTGTCTATCTCCAACATGCATGAAGTGACCCGTGACTGGAACAGCCTATATGCGTTTTTGTCGTGTGCTGCCAATACCGAAAACAGATTTCTTGTTATACTCGGTACAAACCAAACGTCTCTTAGAAAGAATTCTTCACCATTAGCTTTCATTCTAATTGAGCCTTTTCCTACAGCTTGAACGACGTTACCATTTGCAGTAGTAACAGTATGACGTTCATCAAAGTGTATGAAATCCTCAAAAAAGTCTTCACGCATCGTAATATGGTGAGTAGCCCCGTTGTCTACGTACCAAGACTCACGATCAAGACTGGATTCCACAAAGCTGCTAAAGATATTCATATTGGTGCTCGTAGTGCGTTCAGCCGAACTCATGCTACCACCATTTTTTTCTTTCTTTAGAGGACAGTCCTTTCTGATGTGTCCCACTTTCTTACAAATGTAACATCTGACTTTAGATCCTCCGTTTGATTCCTTCTTGGCTCGTGCCGATCCTTTCGTTTTCACTATCAATGGTTCACCGGACTTACTGGATTCTCCCTCTAAACTATTTCTTAACGCTCTTTCATGAGAGCATAATTGGCTTGTGATGTTCTCGACAGTACGATCCTTTTTGGACATCAACATCCAACTCGACTTGAACGAAAAATATTCCTCTGGCAAAGTGTCCAATATTTTGCAAATTAACAAAAAAACTGGTAATCTTGTTTCTTCATTCTTAGCTAACTCTAGGTGCAGCTTATGCCAAATATTTTTAATCTTGGAGATGTGTGTTGATATATTTTCCGTGTTCATCTTTTTGTACTGAAAAAATTCAATACAAGTTTCGTATAATCTGTCATCTGTTGAACCATCAAATATTCGATGTAGCTCGTCCCAAACATCTTTCGGGTTTGTGAATCTAATAACTTTATCCAGTGTCTCATCTGATATATTATTTGTTATCAATAACAAGGCAATACTTTCCTGAGTACAGTATTCCTTCAGAC